GGGGAAGACAGGACGGGACCAGAAAGAGCTTGGACTCACAGACTAATGGTTATTTCCAAACATCTGATTTTCAGGTTTCCAAACTGTTGGCTAAGTCCCACTAATCACTCTCTGCCCCCAGAGCCTCCTCATTCCTCTCCCCACCTCACACTGCACGCAGGGTGACAGGCTAGTAACTCCAAGCACGCACCCCAGGCCTCTAATTGTGTAAAGGGCCAGCTTCCTGATTGCATTAACAGCATGAGGAATTTCCAAATTACCAAGGGCCTTCTCCCCTGGCACAGCTACTCGACAACATGATATAAATCAGAGGCCTTGCTTCAGAGGCCGGGGAGAAGAGTGAAGGACTTGGAAGCCGATCAGCAGGTGGAGGACCCCAAACCAGGTGAGGAGACGTGGAGCTTCCCATTCTCACCATGGTGAAGGGGCTTGTACCAAAGCCTCCCACGATCGTTTCTTCAGCACCAAACCTCAGATGCCTGAGCACCCCCACATGGCAGCCGGCATGCCCCTGTGTCACTGGTGCTATCAGGTACTTAATATATTTATTTAAAGTCATATTTACTTAATCATCTGGTTCAGTTAGCCTTGTCCTAAGTAAGGAGCGTGGGAGGAACGTCCCCCTCTGGCGGTGGCCACCTCCTATCACACTGGGAAGTGGCTGTGGTGCTGGCCTCAGGGGAGCCTTCCTCGGGATGAACCCTCCTGGACTCTGAATATCCATACCCCACTGCGCTGCACCCCGCAAAGGGGCGAACTACACGCAGAAGCTCTATAGGAGGAGCTTTTGCAGGAGGATTCAGCAGCACGGAGAACCAGCCCCATCTTCTGTGACAGTGAATCACCTGTGGCGCCACCGTAGGGTCCCTGTCTGTGCTTTGTCTTGGTGACATTACCACCTATCCCAGCCACCGGCAGTCTTCAAAACAGAAATGGATTTTTTACTTGTGTGTTTGGAAATCACATCTATGGCTCCTATGAAACAAATTTCCCCAGGATTCTTTTATCTGACAGGCTAGAAAGTCATTTCTTTTTAAGGCTGTTTCTCCCTAAAACGTGCTTCCAAGCCGCAATTACACAGATCTGAGATGTGCAGCTATGCCTTTGCTGTGGCCTCACAGTGGAGCCTGTGGGTGTGGTTAAATTATGATTTTTATTCTAAGGGGAGGCTAAGAAACATCTGCTGCCTGATGGAAACCATGTGTTATTACAAGACACTACGTCAGGCGTTTTAACATGACATATTCCTTACAATTGCACTTACTAAACAGAACACCATTACAGAATTCCCACTAATGTTCTCATCACACACCAACTCAACAGCCTTCCCCTGCAACTCACAGGGGATTGATCAGTGCAATTATTTTGTAAAGGTCTTTGTCAGTGGATTCAAAATAACCAGAAATAGTAATTATTATTATTTAGGATTCAAGTGTTAATTTTCCAGCTGAGATGCAGCCTCAGCCTTCCACAGCTACAGGTGTGGATAAAGTGGAAAATAAAGCCGTGTGAACGGCACGTCTTCTGGGGGAGCACACCAGAGTCTCCCTTTGTCCTGTGAGCGGGGTGCTGCTCCTGCAGACGTGCATCGGAAACATGGCCCCGAGATCCATAGGGAACTTTCCGCCACCAAGGCCCAGGTCTTCAAGGCCCAGTTCACCTTCCTCAGCTATAAACCTCAGACAGCCAGGTCGCTCATGGGGCAGACAGGAGTGTTAGCACCCACAGCCCCGGGCCGGCCCTCTGGCTTCCCTACCCAAGCCGCCGAGCTCCACGTCTGTGGTCCAAGCGGGGCACACAGGAAACGAAGCAGGTCTGGGCCAGCTGTCTGGCCACAGGCCCTCAGGGCCACATGGGGTGGCGAGGCCGGAGAAGCTAGCACCCCAAGCTCGGCCTGTCCGGGGCCCACTCAGACATGCAGGCAGCCCGAAACGGCAGCAGCAGTGCTAGGATCTGGATGTCCTGAGCTGGACCAGCCAAGACAAAACAGAGGAGGACTAGCAAAACCAGGGACGGAAGAGGGGGCGCCTCTCCTGCCGCGGGACACTGAGGGCCGTACAGGACTGTTAGGGACAGCACTGTGCCAATGAGGATGGAATGCCCACGTCCCCAGAAAGACAAGTGAGCAGAACAAAATCGACATCTTCTGTGTCTCTGCGGAGCCTCGCAGTCCTCCTGGAAACCCAGAGCCTCAGAGGACCCCGCAGGAATCACCCTGACGCCAAAGCCAGACAGAACATTACAGGAAAACTTCACACCAGTGTCTCATGAACACGGACACAAAACCCTTAACAAAACATCAGCAAACTGTATCTAAAGGCATTTAAAGGATTAAAGGAGTGCCTGGTGGCTCCGTCGGTTGGGCATCCAACTCTTGACTTTGGCTCAGGTCATGATCTCAGGGTCGTGGGGTTGAGCCCTGCGTCGGGCTCCCTGTTCAGAGGGGGGTCTGCTTCTCCCTCTCCCCCTGCCACTCTGCACTATCTCTCTACATAAAGAAATAAATCTTTTTAAAAAATCTTTGAAATGATTATAAACCATGACTGATCGGAATTTATCCCAGGAGTGCAGATTGAATCCGAAAATAGGTCCATCAATAGCTGTGGGAAAATATTATTGACAAAATCAAATGTCTACTCAAAAAAATTTTTGACATTTTATTTATCTGCCAGAGAGAGGGAGAGGGATAGAGAAAGAGCACGCACAGGCAGGGGGAGGGGCAATCTCCCCACTAAGCAGGGAGCCCAATGCAAGGACTCGATCCCAGGACCCCGGGATCATGACCAGGGCTGAAGGCAGACACTCCACCCACTGAACCACCAGGGTGCCCCTAATCATAGCAGTTTTTGAAGAAAGACTTGAGTTCTTTCCCTCCTAAAACTGTGAACAAGGAAAGAGCATCTGTTCTCACCACTTCTACTGAGCTCCTAGTCTGCACAATGACTACCTCCCCTCAAAGAAAAGAGGGGAATGAGAGAAAGGAGAAGAAATGAAAGCCATAAATACTGAAAAGAACAATAAAACATTTATGGATGACCTGATCATGTTTATAGAAAATTCTAAGAATTCTACAAAAGAACAAAACACACAAACCAAAAAGAACTACCAGAACTAATAAGCAAGATTATCTCATCAAGACTGTGGATTACAGGATGATCATGCAAAAGAATCAATCCTATTTTCACATAGTATCAACAACCTGAAAATTAAGAAAACAATTCCATTACCATAGCATCAAAAAAAAATACCTTATATTAAATGTTAACAAAAGAAGTGCAAGATTTGTTCGCGTAAAACTACAGAACATCGCTGAGGGGAATCATGGAAGATTTAAATAAGAAACATTCCATGTTCGTAGATGGAAAGAGTCAGTATCTTTTAACTTTCAGCTCCATGCAATCACTACCAAAATCCCAGCATGTTTTTGCAGAAATTGACAGAGCAATCCTATTATTTTTATGGACGAAAAGGACCCAGAATAGTGAAAACAATTCTGAAAGAGAACAAAGGCAGAGAATTTACACCATCGGTTTTCAAGCTCACGCTACAGCTGCCGCAATCAAGATCAGCTGGTGTCGGCATAAGGACAGACATAAAGATCGGTGGCGTAGAACTTGAAATTACAGGACATTCATGGTCTACGTGGCAAAATGTAACACAGAACAACATTCTAAAGAGCCGCTGGAGAGAGATTTCTTTCTATTAAGGACCCTCTCAGCCCTATAGTACCTTCCATGTCTATCTCGTGCTAGATTCGAAGCAGGGCATGAACGGACAGCGGCCCCACCCCATCCTCTGTTTCGAATTACACTAAGATGCTCATCCTGGGACCTGTTTTTTTTTTTTTTTTATAAACTCTCTCCCGTGGCTGTGATGGAAACTTGGTAGTCATGAGGGGAGAAGCAAATTAGAAGGTAATTTGTACATAAATTACATGTGGAATTTATACAGGAAGACTATGTCCTCTAACACAACATTTAACATTTTTTATTATGAAAGTTTTCAAAACATATGCAAAGATCCTGATGTTGCTCTTACTAGTCCCTAAGTATCAGCAGAGAACCTTCTTCACGCCAGCTGCATCTGCCATTCCTTGTTCTGGATTCTGTAGAAGTAAATCCCAGGTGCCATATCATTTCATCTCTAGGTACGCCAGCCTATGTCTCTAAGTGATAAGGATTTTTTTTTTAAACAAATCATCAAGTAAATCAGCATTAAGCTCCCATAGGAATTATTTTAATAGGGACGCCTGGGTGGCTCAGAGGTTGAGCGTCCACCTTTGGCTTAGGGCATGATCCCAAGGTCCTGGGATCAAGTCCCACATCGGCCTCCTGCAGGGAGCCTGCTTCTCCCTCTACTTGTATCTCTGCCTCTCTCTCTGTGTCTCTCATGAATAAATAAAATCTTTTTTTAAAAAAAATGAATTATTTTAATAAACAGGAAAAAATCCACACATGGACTATCCACATTCAGTCTATAAAGTCTAGAGTTCTTTTTGAAAAGCCTTTTTTACACTCATCTCATGATGTAAAGTCAAATGAGTGCTATGCTTATCTTCCCAAAAATATATACTTTTCCCATATGTGATGGTGACCAGCCTGTTGCCATTGCCAGGGCAGAGTAAACCCACTGGGCTGCAGGGGGTACATTGGGGCTGTCGGTGTGCTCACCCTATGCGGCGCTGGGGGGCTCTAGGGTAACCACCGCGGAACTGGGAATACTGAAGCTGCCTGCAGGCTCTTGGCCTAGGAGAAAGGCTTACTACCCAGATCTGAACCTGATAAAGCAGGGTTTCAAATGAAAACTTGGGGCTTGGAGAATCAGATTCATTCTAAAGTATGTTTTATTCACACCTGACTTGAAATAATAATTTTAAAAGTTAAGCCTAAGCCATAGGGGCAGTGCAAGCCCCCAGAGCTACATCTCCCTGCCGTGAGGAACACACCTGGGGGGAATCTGAGACCAACCAGGCCCTCTCATCCCCTGGGCTGTCACCAGATCATAATCCATAGATGCTCCTGCGGAACTAACCCCAGACTTTACAGCATCTCCCTCTGCTGGGAAGCATGAACAACAAGGACAAAGAGCAGGAAGCGTCGGGGCCTATTTGCTGCCGCAGTTACCTGGTCGCTCCCAGAAAGGAGCTGCCTGATGCAGTCTGGACTTCCACAGGCCCTGAGCGTGGGTCCTGATGCTGACGACGCTCCCTTCCCGTCAGCTTGTGGGTCTATGATTGACAGTCGAAAGGCAGGTGTGCTAGCCCCTGCCCAGACTGGCATGCACATACCAGCCGCTTTCACCAGCAGCACCTGCCTTCTCCCAGGGGCCACCAGGGCCATTTCCCATCTCCCGGCTGTCTGTCCCCTTCCACAATTCACACAGTGTGTACTAGTGGTTCCCTTAAAAAAGAAACAACAACAACAAAAAAACACAAAACATAAAGGTAGCATGTTCCTTTTAGCCAAAATGCATCTGTTTTCATTGTCCTCTCTTCTGGAAGAGCCATTCTAGTGGCAGTGCTGGGCAGCCAAGCCCAGGGGAGTGTCCGGGTGCAGCTGGAGGCCCGGATGGTCCCAGGGCCCACGCGGTGGATAAGGGCACGTCTAACTGGCTTGTATCTTATGTGGTGAAGCGCAAGTGTCGTCAAGTTAACCCATCACACAGGATCATCCCATACCCAGGTGCCTCATCTGTCCACAGGCTCCTTACCTCCCAGAGCCCCAGTCTCCGAGTGGCTGAAAACTCTTCTGTGACAGTGTCTCTCCTTCCCACGCGGGCGCATTCCTGTCTCCACCTTTCACTCAGCCCTTCATTCAAATAGAAGGGACTGGGAGCTGACAGCTCCTCCTGGGCCAGTGCTGCATCTGGGAAAACAGGCCAAAAAATAGGCGAGGGAGTTCCCTGTTGGTCTCTCTGATCCAGTTAAATACAAATAAAGAAAAATCAGAAAGGAGACTTCTACTCCAGGCAGGAGGGCCATGGAGACACTATGAAGGGCCCTCACACTACAAAACAATTAGATTCTAGGACTTGATTTTCATGCCAGAACTGGGTTTAAAAGTAGCAGGGGCATCCTGAAGATTCCCAAGCCAGGGAGACCCTCCTGAACTGGATCCAGGGCAGGGAAGGAGAGTGGGAAAATACAAAGAGTGGGGTGCCCTCAGGGAACCTGCCGGAATCAGGATGGCTTGGGGTTGTGGAGGTGGGGAGGGTCAGCAGCACAGGTGACTCCAGACCCCTGCCCGCAAGGATGTGGAAGTACCCACCGCAGGCCCTCTGGCTCTGGCCATAGTGGTCACCATGTTCCCACAGATGACTGTCAACTGAACACAAGCTCACAAACAGCACCAACCGGGAGAGGAAACCATGTACATGAACTGAGTCAGTAGGAATAACAAACAAAACAGACAAACCCACAATCATATCAATTATTTAAAGGATCAGACTCAGAATCTTAAAAATTAGGTGTAAAGTATTAAGGGAAAAAGAAAGAATTACCAAAATAAATGAGCAAGTAAAAACAGACAATAAATGAACATACATATTTGAAAAATATCCAAATACAGCTTTCATTAGTGAAGACTATGATTTTTGAAGCCTCAAAAGATGAGTTAGACAGCAGATTACACACGGACAAAGGGAGGCTAATAAACTGGAGGCACATCAGAAAAAAATGCACCTAGTGCTGAACAGAGACATGGGAAGAAGGAAAATGTAACAAAGATTGAACAGATGTTACAGCACAAGAAGGTTTAACAAATACTGATCCATTCAGATTTCCATACAACTAGAAGGGAAGAAGTATTTAAAGACATAATTCGTTAGAACTTCAAGAACTAATGAAAGTCATGAATCTAAAATACATCCTAAACAGAATACAGGAAAAGAAACTCACCCCTACACTGATGGCAATGAAATGAGAGAACATCAACAGCAAAGAGAAGACAGGTCACCAACAAAGTCACAAGGACCAGACTGACAGGCCTTCAACAAAGCAGGGAAACCAGAATCCAACGGGAAACGTCTTCTAACAAGACAGATCTCTGCTGCCTGATGGCTCTACGTTGGCCAATGCTAGCCTTCCTCAACAAGAGCAAAATAAGACGTTCTCAGATAAACAGTTTCCCTCCGCCGTAACCTTGGAACCTCCAAGAGAGTGAGCACCGATGCATGAGCAGGCTGCTGATGGGGCGCATGTATGTCCACGTGTCATAAGTAAGTGATGTTACACGAACATTTTAGATATATGATAGCTAGCCCTTATTTCAACAGAAAGTTTCTTCTCATTGGAATGTTTCTCTTCCTAAAAATTAGTTGTTACTTAAAAAAAAGGAAGACGAAATATAAGAAAAAATGGTGAGCAAATAAACTGATAAATATACATCAAATAAAAGCAAACATTGTCAACAAATAGTAAGAGTACCTAATTTGGGGATGTAAAAATGCAGAACCAAAATACTGGACAATTTCAGCATGTAAGTCTAGAGAAGTGCCAAGGTCCTTTAAGATCTATAATAATAAGTCCTTTAAGATCTATATATTGTTTGCAAAGAAATTGCAATATTAACTTTACATTAAGTTAGGAATTTCAATGGTGATAAGCAAAAGCATAAAAATAGAGTAAGAAAAAATAAAATAAACAGAAAAGCAGATGTCAATATACCAAATATATCACCAAAGGGGGAGAAGAGATAATAAAGGGGAAAATATACCCCTAGAAACATGAGGTTAAGGGACGCCTGGATGGCTCAGCGGTTAAGCTCTGCTTTCAGCTCAGGGCGTTACCCTGGAGTTCAGGATTAGTCCCACATGAGGCTCCCTGAGGGGAGTCTGCTTCTCCCTCTCCCTCTGCCTATGTCTCTGCCTCTCTGTGTGTGTGTCTGTCATGAATAAATAAATAAAATCTTAAAAAAAAAAGAAACATGAGGTAAATATGAACATCTTGGACTTGCAGCTGATAGTGTGAGAATAAACCATAGAAGTCTAGCTACATGTTGTTTATAGCATAAATATCTAAATGTAAGGTACACAAACATTAAAAGTAAAAATGAAGAATATACCAGGCAAATATTTATTAAAAGAAAGTTATGATAGTCATGTTACTTCAGACAAAAACATTTTAAGGGATAAGCATTGTTCAGGGTACAGAGAGAGGGCTCCACACAACGAAAAAGGTTCAATTGATGAAGGATATAAAAATTCTAAATTTGTATTCTTTTAATAACAGCCTCTCCCCCTCCACACACACACACACACAAATGCGTGCACACATACACCAACCTGCACACAAACATGTACACACATACACAAACACACACATGCACACACACACAGTTAATAAAGCTACAGGGAGAGATTGGCAAATTCACAACCATAGAAGAGATTTCAACTTCTCTCTCAACCATTGCTTGGTCAAACAAAAAAATATGTAAACTTAGAAGATTTGAATGACACGTTAGCTTTATTGATTGGGTAGATCTAGAATCCTGAATCAAATACGGGAAAAATACACATTCTTTTGAAGCACATATTAACCTGATGCTGGAATTATGCCAATTGCATTAAATTTCAAAAAAAATTATATCATTCAGATTATGTTATCTGACTATAATGCTATTAATTTAGAAATCAACCATAAAAAGATGGGAGAAAAATCCCCATGCATGTGGACATTTTTAAATACACTTCTCAATAACTGATTTGTCAAAGAAAAAGATCATGGTGGGGATGCCTACAGGGCTCAGCAGTTGAATGTCTGCCTTTGGCTCATGTCATGATCCCAGGGTCCCAGAATTGAGTCCCACGTCGGGCTTCCTGCATGGAGCCTGCTTCTCCCTCTCCCTGTGTCTCTGCCTCTCTCTCTCTCTGTGTCTCTCATGAATAAATAAATAAAATCTTTAAAAAAAATCATGGTGAATACAAAAGAATAACTGCATGATTGACAGTAGGAAGATTGCATATCAAAATGTGAAATGAAGCAGAAGTAATGCTTGAAAGGACATTTATGTCATTGAAGTTTTCCTCAAAAAGGAAATTAAATGAATGAATGAATTCATTAAATTAATGAATTCACCTAAATTAATGAATTTAACATAAAAAACTTTTTGAAAGATTAACAAGTTTAACATCAGCTCACAAAAATCTATTGCATTTTTATATGCCAGCAACAATCAACCAGAAAAGGTTGGAGTGTTTTCTTTTTTTTTTAAGTTTCATGTAAAAACAGAAGTGTCAGCAAAAAAATAAACTAGGAATAGATCTAACAAAAAAATGTGCAAGTCCTAAATGGAGAAAATCATTAAAATCTTATTAGCAGACATTAAAGAGAACCTAAATAAACAGACTGATATACTGAGTTTATGGACGAGACAATCCAAGTCACAAAAATGTCACTTCTCCCCTAATTGATTTACAGACTCCAAACAGGTCAGATCAAAACTCTAACAAGTTTTATCAATAAAACTGACACACTAATTTTAAAATTTATGAAAAAACAAAGGCCAAAATATCCACAAAACATGTGAAGAAACTTCCCAGATACCATGACTTATTGTGAAGCTATAGAAGTTCAAGGATAGAGCAGAACAGAAAGTCCAAAATAGGCTCGTGCATCTCTAGAGACTTACTGAATTCCAGAGAGGCATCACAGATCAATGAAAACAGGATAAGCTCTTCTATACACAGGGCTGGAACTGGCTACCCCCGTGGGAAAGACATCTGATCACTGCCTTGCACCATATACAAAACATCCATTTCGTATTATTTAAAGTCTTAGCTGTGAAAGGCAAAGATTTACAGATTTTAAGAAGTAAAAAAAAGGAAGCTATCTTTATAATCCCAGATTAGGCAATGCATTCCTAAAATGAAGAACTTCTGTTCATCAAAAGATTTCATACAGATAATGAAAAGGACAAGGCAAAAATTGATAGATGATGTGGGTAACATATAAACAAAGGTAATCAGAAGCCATGAGGAGCTTCTACAAATCAATAAGAAGACAACCCAATAGAAAAATGAGCCATCAACATGAACAGGTTAAGTCAGAGAAGATAAAGCATGAAGGGCAAGAAAACAATAGGAACAATGATTTGGGCAGATGGCCATTGGGAGACCACAGATCTTCACCCAGACCTGCAGAGCCACCCAGGGTGCAGTGGAAGTACAAAGTGAGACAGCCCTGTGGGAAAGTGGTTTGGTGTTGCCCAGTAAACCCGCACTTGCTGACCCTGGGACAGAGCAGCTCCACCCTCAGACTCTAGCTCAGGGGCACCAGGACACGTGCAGCACTTTTCGTAAGAATCCCAAACCAAAAAAAAAAAAAAAAAAAAGAATCCCAAACCACCCAAAGGTCCATCTGCAAGAGAAGGTTAAATACATCTTGTCAGCTTCCCACATGAGCTATTAAATAGAAGTCATAATGAACAATAAACCCATAAAGAAATATGAATTCTAGATACATAGCGATGAATGAAAAGGCCATTCAGAGACCACAAACTCCCCATATATGTGTGATGCGCTTTTATAAACCTCAAAAGCAAGCATAGCCACACAGTACTTTGAGCATCCCTCCACATGCATGCAGCAAAGCCCCCATGGAGGCAGCAGAGCACATGCCAAGTTGAGGGGATTAAGGGGGTGGGAGGACAATGGAGAGCGCAGGCAGTCCTAACAGCACTGGTAATGCTGGAGATTGCAGGTTGGCTGATGGGCTGGTTTTAGGGTTAAACACAAGATTTGTCTGCTTAATTTAGATAATTTTTAATGGGAGGAGTGAACAGAGGAAGAGAGATCCCACTAAAGGCTGTTAAAGCTTACCCCTGGGTACAAACGAATCTGTGAGGCTCACCTGTGCTTGCCCCCCCGCCCCCCCCCCCACACTGCCCATTAACCCCGCCTCCCTCTGCAAACCCTGCTCAGGCCCCATCCCACTCCCCCCACCGCCACACCTGGCCTGGTTTCTTGTGAACTCTCCTCGGCCTGTGCCACCACTGGCTGCCCTGCCGGCGCCCCCTTCTCTGCCTGCACCCCCTTCCTCGGCGCCTGCTAGGCCACCCCGCTGTCCCTGGAGCCCACATGCCAGCCCTGCACCCCCACCTACTGGCGGCTCACCCCTGCACCCTGGCAGCTCCCATCTGGCATGCTCGGGGGGGGGGGGGGGGGGGGGGGGGGGACACGACCACTCCTGGGGGACATGCTCCCAGGGAACCCACCGGATCTGCACGCACCTCTCCGCCTCCCTTCTGGGGGCAGCTGTGACTCCTCATCTCACTAACCTGCCCAGCAAGTGATGCACTGCTGGTTGTAGCTCAGACACTTCAACAACCACTGCCATCCGTAGGGATGCCCTGGGGCCGGGGCTTTCTCTGCAGGCCCCTCACCCCCACCCCCACCCCTCAGCAGCCAGCACTGCCTGAGCACATTTGCCCAAAGGTGTGTGGTAACTACCCACTGCCTGCAAGGGTGGCTCTCCCACCCAGCAAGTAAGCTCGGGCCACTCCAAAACCAACTAAGTCAGGGATCTTAAGCATCCTAGCCCTGCTCCCTTCTTGCCATACAGGACTCCATCACGGGATTCCCCAGAGCCCCCATCCGGGGTCCTTGTGGGGGATGCCCGTTCCCCTTCTGCCACGATCCTGTTCCCGGTCCTCCCCAGGAAGGATGACGCAGGTAGAGAGCAGCCCCTGCTCCTGCCCCAAGAGCTTGGGGGACATGGCCAACTGCAAACACCAGACTGCTCTGGACACTAAGCGGGCTGAAAAACAGAAAATCCCAGGGGGTGGAGCTGGTCCTCAGCAAACCGCCCTCTGTGGCCCCTCGGGTCCCTGAGACAGCTAATGAATCGGGAAGCCTGAGCTTAGGGCAAGGGTGGAGAAACCCCAGTGAAGACACTCGGGTGGGGGAGGGGGAGGATGGAAACAGAGAAGCCGGAATGCAGGCTGGCTCTCTTGGGATGCCTGCCTCTCGTCCCCCGGGGGGGCCGCACATCCTAGGGGTGAGGCCAGGCCTGGGAGACAAGCTTCCTGGAGCAACAAGGGCCTACATGGGAAGTCTTCCTTCAACAGGCTTGAAAGCAGACACGGACTGAGCCACACTCCCTACCGCCACCCCCCCCTTCAGTTCTTGGTGGACTGGAGGCCACCAGCCCCTCCCCCACATGCCCACACAAGGTAGACTGGGCTGTTGGGGCTGCAGGCATCCACATTTGGTGCTAGCGAGCTCCCAGGACAGCCCATACGGGCTGCACGTGGTGCCTCTGAGAAGTCCACAGAGGGCACCAGGCCTGCAGACCACATGGGAGGGAGCGAGGGGGAAGAGTGAATCCTGAGGGTCCCCCTGGGACACAAGCCGCAGGAGTGCAGAAGACTCTTTGGAACCTCCTGAGGCTTCTGGGGCTGTTTGGGGTGAGACTGGGAGAGGGGATGGGCTGGAGAAGGTGCACCAGCCAGAGCCTGAAAAAGCAGGTTCCCATGACAGCTGGAGTGGCCTGAGGATGGTGAGGGGTTCAAGGGTCACCTCCTCTCATCAGAAGAGGATTCGGGAATCAGAACACCATGAAGGTGGCACTGCCACCAGGGAGCTAAAGTGGAGCTTGCGAGGGGCTCTTCTCCTGCAGACTAGGGTTGGGAAGAGCCAGCAGCCCCTCGTCACCATGATAAGGAAAACGTGTTGCTCTAAGGTCAGGATCAAAATCCTGTGAATAGGGATCCCTGGGTGGCGCAGCGGTTTGGCGCCTGCCTTTGGCCCAGGGCGCGATCCTGGAGACCCGGGATCGAATCCCACGTCGGGCTCCCGGTGCATGGAGCCTGCTTCTCCCTCTGCCTGTGTCTCTGCCTCTCTCTCTCTCTCTGACTATAATAAATAAATAAAAATTTAAAAAAAAATAAAAGCAAAATCCTGTGAATAGGAAATACTCTTGGCACGCGGCTACCCGGTGTTAATTCCAGAAAAACGGCACTTGTCTTAGGGCGGCACACCTGCTGCTCAGGCAACCAGAGGAAAACAGCCACCACACTCCCTCCATGGCCTCCCTCAACACCTGGCCATGCCGGAGGACTCAGGGCTGGAAGGAAGCTTCCAGAGACTACTGGAGGGTCATCGGTGGGGACCAGGGACAAAGAACTTGTGCTCTGGAAGGCTCCTTGGAGTAATATTTGGAGAAAGTGAGGCTCCTTCTATTTGCCTGTTACAGGCCTACTCATGTTTTGTTTCTTCCTCAATTTCTGTATTTTTGTTTTTCCAGGAATTTATCCATTTCACTTAAATCACCTAATCTGTTGGTATGCAGTTGTCCACCTTATTCCCTCATCATCATCTTTATTTCTGTAAATCATTCCTGACATCACCAAAGTTTCCCTCCCTTTCACCTGGTCAATCCACTCAAAGTCTGGTCATTTGTCCGCCTTTCCAACCAACTGGCTTCTGGTTTTGCAGGGTTTCTCCACCGCCTCCTGTGCGGTCTACTCCTGCTGTAGTCGGTGTTTCCTGCCCCTGCACTCCCTGTGTAGTTTGCTCTTCCGATTCCTGACGGTCCCGCTTGGTTCCAGGGGTCCCCTGGACACGACACCCACCCATCCTGCAGTGCGGGGGCGGGGGGGGGCCCTGGTGTGTGCTCTCAGCCCTAAGCTGCTGCTTCCTCCAGCTTCCCTCCCTGTTGGGTCAGCTGACATCCAACTGGGGAACAGCAATGGGGGTAGCGGGAGGATGGCCAGTGGTACAACGGGGGGCAGCAGGGAGGACAGCGGGGGACACGGGGTGGCCGGGAGACAGTGGGGGGACAGCGGGGGGGGGGCAGGTAGAGGGGGGGCCGGGGACGGGCAGATAGCAGGGAGGCGAGCCAGGGTACACGGGGGCGGGGAGATGGCCGGGAGACAGTGGGGGGACAGCGGGGGGGGCAGATAGAGGGGGGCCGGGGATGGGCAGATAGCAGGGAGGCCAGCCAGGGTACACGGGGGGGGGGGGGGTGATGGCCGGGAGACAGTGGGGGGACAGCGGGGGGGAGGCAGATAGAGGGGGGACGGGCAGATAGCAGGGAGGCGAGCCGGGGGACAGCGGGGGGACACTGGGGGGGTGGCCGGGAGACAGTGGGGGGACAGCGGAGAGCGGAGAGTGGGGGGGGGAGCCGGGGGACAGCGGGGGGACACCGGGGGGGGGTGGCCGGGAGACAGTGGGGGGACAGCGGAGAGCGGTGGGGGGGAGCCGGGGGACTGCGGGGGGACACCGGGGGGGGTGGGGGGACAGCGGAGAGCGGGGGGGGGGGAGCCGGGGGACTGCGGGGGGACACCGGGGGTGGGGGTGGGGGGACAGCGGAGAGCGGGGGGGGGGCAGCCGGGGGACAGCGGGGGGACACTGGGGGGTGGCCGGGAGACAGTGGGGGGACAGCGGAGAGCGGGGGGGGGAGCCGGGGGACAGCGGGGGGACACTGGGGGGGTGGCCGGGAGACAGTGGGGGGACAGCGGAGAGCGGGGGGGGGAGCCGGGGGACAGCGGGGGGACACTGGGGGGGTGGCCGGGAGACAGTGGGGGGACAGCGGAGAGCGGGGGGGGAGCCGGGGGACAGCGGGGGGACACTGGGGGGGTGGCCGGGAGACAGTGGGGGGACAGCGGAGAGCGGGGGGGGGGAGCCGGGGGACAGCGGGGGGACACTGGGGGGGTGGCCGGGAGACAGTGGGGGGACAGCGGAGAGCGGGGGGGGAGCCGGGGGACAGCGGGGGGACACCGGGGGGGGTGGCCGGGAGACAGTGGGGGGACAGCGGAGAGCGGGGGGGGAGCCGGGGGACAGCGGGGGGACACTGGGGGGGTGGCCGGGAGACAGTGGGGGGACAGCGGAGAGCGGGGGGGGAGCCGGGGGACAGCGGGGGGACACTGGGGGGGTGGCCGGGAGACAGTGGGGGGACAGCGGAGAGCGGGGGGGGGAGCCGGGGGACAGCGGGGGGACACTGGGGGGGTGGCCGGGAGACAGTGGGGGGACAGCGGAGAGCGGGGGGGGAGCCGGGGGACAGCGGGGGGACACTGGGGGGGTGGCCGGGAGACAGTGGGGGGACAGCGGAGAGCGGGGGGGGAGCCGGGGGACAGCGGGGGGACACTGGGGGGGTGGCCGGGAGACAGTGGGGGGACAGCGGAGAGCGGGGGGGGGAGCCGGGGGACAGCGGGGGGACACTGGGGGGGTGGCCGGGAGACAGTGGGGGGACAGCGGAGAGCGGGGGGGGAGCCGGGGGACAGCGGGGGGACACCGGGGGGGTGGCCGGGAGACAGTGGGGGGACAGCGGAGAGCGGGGGGGGAGCCGGGGGACAGCGGGGGGACACTGGGGGGGTGGCCGGGAGACAGTGGGGGGACAGCGGAGAGCGGGGGGGGAGCCGGGGGACAGCGGGGGGACACTGGGGGGGTGGCCGGGAGACAGTGGGGGGACAGCGGAGAGCGGGGGGGAGCCGGGGGACAGCGGGGGGACACTGGGGGGGTGGCCGGGAGACAGTGGGGGGACAGCGGAGAGCGGGGGGGGGAGCCGGGGGACAGCGGGGGGACACTGGGGGGGTGGCCGGGAGACAGTGGGGGGACAGCGGAGAGCGGGGGGGGAGCCGGGGGACAGCGGGGGGACACTGGGGGGGTGGCCGGGAGACAGTGGGGGGACAGCGGAGAGCGGGGGGGGAGCCGGGGGACAGCGGGGGGACACTGGGGGGGTGGCCGGGAGACAGTGGGGGGACAGCGGAGAGCGGGGGGGGAGCCGGGAGACAGCGGGGGGACAGCAGGGGGCGAGCCGGGGGACACAAGGTGTGGCGTGGGCAGGAAAGCAGCCGGGCACGGCCGCGGACCCGAGCGGTCAGCGCGGCGGCGGCGGCGGCCGGCAGGACGGGGGCTGGCACCCCGCGGGGACAGGTCACGGCCCCGCAGGTCCGGTCACCACGACACCTCACGTGGACGAGCACGGAGCCCAGATCAGGGTGGAGCGCCCCGTCCCCGCACAGTCGCTGAGCGCGGCCCGGAGGCTGCGGGGGCCAGGGAAGCCTGACCCTCCGCCCGTGCCCTCTCGCCCCAGCGGCCCGGCCTCAGAAATCGCCGAAGGTCGCGACCGCCCCCAACCCGGTTCCTCTCCTCCGCAACTCCGCGGGCCTCCCCCCGCGCAGCCCTGGCGGTGCCGGGGGCCAGCGCCCTCTGACCCCGCACTGCGCACGGCACGCCGGGACTGTGGCGCTCCGATGCTCGCGCTGTCTGCCGGGACTCGTAGTCTCTTCGCAACGGGCCTCGGCGCGGGACTACGCTGCGGACGGCGGCCCGCGCTGCATGCCGGGACTCCTAGTTTAACGACCCCCGGGCTTTGGTGCACCAGGGGAACTGTGGGACAGGGGGCGCGCGCGGCATGCCGGGAAGTCGCAGTGCATGCCGGGGTTTCTGGGCAGCGCGGGCGCGCGCTGCACGCCGGGACCGCAGCCCCTCGCCGTCGGCGTTCCCGGGGCCCATGGGGCGTGGCCACAGCGTTCCCGCCCGGCCGGCCCCACACGCTCGTTCCCAGGGCGCTCCGGGCACCCGCGGCCGGCGCCGCGTCTCCCGCGTGGGTGTGTGTTTACCCGCGGGCCCAGCGACGCACACACGCGGCGTCACGCGGCGTCACGCGACGTCAGACGCTGTCCCGGAAGTGGGCGCGGGCCGGGCGGCGGGTGGAAGCCGGTGCCGGAGCGCGAATTGCGGGGCCGTCGTCTTCGCCTCCTGGGCCGGGGCCGCCGTCCCGCCCCGCCCGCCCGCCCGCCCGCGATGGGCGCCGGGCCTTGAGCGCCCAGTCCGCCGACCTTCCCACAGCGACCCCGCCCGGCCGCGATGGAGGCGCCGCCCGCGGGCCGCGTTCCCGCCGAGGGCGCCCCGCCGGCGGCCGTGGCCGAGGTGCGCTGCCCGGGCCCCGGGCCGCTGCGCCTGCTCGAGTGGCGGGTTGCGGCGGGCGCGGCCGTGCGCATCGGCTCGGTGTTGGCGGTGTGTGAGGCCGCCGCCTCCGCGCAGCCCGCGGGGCCCGCCCCTGCCCGCGCCGGCTCCGGGGGCTGCGTGCGCGCCGAGCGCCGGCTGAGGTCGGAGCGTGCAGGTGTGGTGCGGGAGCTGTGCGCGCAGCCGGGCCAGGTGGTGGTCCCCGGGTGAGTGGGGCTCGGGGGCGGGGGCGGGGCCCGCTGGGGAAGCCGGCCCGCAGGCGGTACGCGAGACGTCGGCCGACCTCAGTTGGCTTCCGCGGCGCCGAGATCCGCCGCCGCCCGCGGGGTCCCGCGGGAGCTTCCCCTGGGGCGTGGCGCGCGAGAGCGACCTGGCCCTGCTTCCCGCCGCCGCGGAGTCCTTCGCCCTGGCCTCCGCCCCTCCCGCCGGGCTTGCGCTGGCTGCAGCGTCTGCTTCGCCCCACGCCCCGCCAGACAGCCCTTCCCGGGCCGCCCCGACCCCAGGAGGCTTGTCCTGTGTCCGCTTCGCCCCAGCATTGTTTGCAGAGGGCACCGTGGTCGTGGGCCCTGGGGTCAGGGGCGCAGGCTGCCCAGTGAACGCAGGCTCTGTCCACTGAGCTGTGGCTGGCGTCCTCGGAAGGGAGAGGAGAGGCTGGTCGGGCCGTGCTGGGGGCACGCTGGGGCACGCTGGGGCACGCTGGGGCACGCTGGCGCCATTGCCCTGAGGTCGAGTCTTCCGACCATCCCGGGCTGGAAAAGCCACGAGCCCACGGTTGTGGTTCCAGGGAAGCCCAGTGCTGGTGTCGCTGTGTAGAAGAGTCCTGAACTGAAGGGCCCTGTCTCCAGTGACCCAGATGGGGCCAGGAGCGCCGGGACTAGTCCGAGACTGGTTGCAGCTAGTTAGTGAGAAAGTCCCCGTGCGGTGCTTTGATCACGTCCGCAGAACTGGCAAATCAGAGTGACCCTGTACGTAGCCTCACCGTCAACCACGTAACTCCTCTAAGAACAAGTTCTCTGTGCTGAGAGGTGTCTGGTTTTTTTTGTTTGTTTGTTTGTTTGTTTGTTTCCGTGTTTATGGTGTTTGAGGTTTAGGGGGTCTCCTGGAGTGCGGGTATGGGTGGATGCAGGGAAAGCACCGAGCAGCCAGGCTTGCCTGGCTGGAGCTGTCCTTGTCCCCACCACTCCGGCAGCAGCAGGATTGCTCCTGACACATCCACGGTTATCCTCAGGCTGCAAACACTTAGTTCTAGGAACTGCTTCTGGTTGTGGTTGACTATTCTGATCTGTAATAGGATTGTATGTTTTTGTATCTGTGCTCAGGTAGAGGTAGGAACCGCACCCTTGTCCTGGGACCAGGATAGGGTGGGCAGGGTGGGCAGGCACTAGGGTCCCAGGGGTGTTGACACGTCCAGCACCTTGCCTTGCTGAGCTTCCCAGCAGCATCCTCCTCCATGCTGCTCTGTCCTTGGGCCGAGTCTCATCCAGAGAGTCCTGGGGTGGGGAAGTAGACAGAACGTCTTCATAATTTCCACCCGGAAAAACAGAGTTGAAAATATTCTGGCAAGGCACAATCTGTCAAACTGAACCTGTTAACTATCACTTTATCTAATGATGTCTTTCCTTCTCACCTGTGTGCTTTCCTGTCTGTTGTCATTCAGTGGGAGATGGTGCAGTCCCCAAAGGAAGATCCATGAAATAACCTGGGAACAAGTGTGGTGGTGGGTAAGGACCAACGGGGGTAGGGGCAGGTGTGCATGGTGTCCACCCAGCTCCCTGGGCCCCGTGGTCTGTCCACAGAAGAATGTCTCCATCAGCCAGGGTCTGGGCTGAGTGCTGCCGGGCAGGGTGA